CAACGCGAAATTAGAATCAAAAACACGAACTAACGCAGCTTAACACACACAAAATTATTTAAAAAATTAGAAACAGGAACCAACGTAACCATCGGGTGAGATTACCCACGAAACAATGTTAGAAGTGAATGGCTTTGGACACAGACCGTCAAAAACTAGGCACGATATGAACAATTCACGTCCACGTTAACTATAAACAATGCCATACATGGTGCACAGACAAACAACAAGAGGACTACATACAAAGTACTTGATGTGTTATCAAACAATACTGTCAAACAAGCACACAAAAAACTGACTTACATACGGACTACAATAAACCTTTTGTGCACAGCACAGACTCACATACAACACAACACAGGCACACACACACACACACAGACCAACAGGATTTCTGGATACATTACTTTACGAGATTTCTTAGTAAACTATTGGAGTTACATACTAACAACCAAAGATGACTTTCACGCAGACTGGCAAAGAAGACTTCCATAGAAGACATCAAATTATAGCCATACACACTGTAAACAGGACTAAAACATACAGCATAACTTCCATACCGACTACAGTAGGACACGCGTTCCAAGTATTTAACTGGGCTATATTCATTACACTACGGACTGGTATACACATAGTAAGATTCAATTTCTATATACATGACTAAATGGGTAATATATGTAAGCTATGAAACAGGCCTTACACGAAGCTTTGTGTACAAGACGCACCTTACAGAATAGTGGGCAGGACTTGGTGCAAATCACTTAACATACAACAAACTACCAAATAAGACACCAAGACATTATAGAAAACCACCAAACAGGGCACCATACAAACCACCACATAGGACTTCCATACAAATGACAAAACAGGACACCATACAAATCACCAATCATGACAATATACAAGCCACGAAACAAGACACCATACACACCACCCGATAAGAAACTACAAACATCAAACACCAGCTCCAAGAGAGAACGGATAGGATACCAGCGACCAGCCTCTAAGTGGAGTCCCTCCCGTTTATTTAATGACAGTACTTGCAGGCCTAAGCACTGTCGCAATGGAATGCTAAAAATACCCGTGCAAAAATATGCTTGATGTTTAACCATGTTAGCCTAGCATCAACTTACCTTTCATGTTTCTATGAAAACACCGTATCATTCAGACACTGTAGACAAGTCTCTCCCACTTAGCCACTAAATGAAAATGAGCTAAAAATAGCCACAACCACGCAGGTAACCTGCTCCAAGTCCGCGAAAAAATGTCAGACTTAGAGGACTCTAGGTAAAACTTTAAAAGGTATTAGCAACTGACCAGTCCTGTCGTGGTTTTTTTTTTTTAGCTCGTCTCTTACTGAAGGTTACATGCACGCTTCTTAAAGATGCATCGACGCATCTTCCTCATGGCGTGACGTAACAGATAACACAGAAAACACGCTGAGATTAAACACAACATTAGATAAGGTTTAGCCACTCTCACTTAAAATTATTTAATACACAAAACTGTTTTGAAATAATTATTTTTAAAAAAAAAGCATCTTAATTAAAAGTACTAAATCGTGGTTATGAAAAGCGGAGGAGTAAAATAAACTGAAAAAGCTTAAAAATATCATCTGGAATAAAAATAAACACAACCATTAAGTTATTACTGTAGCTTCAGCCAAGCTTCACCTTGTTATTTTGACAGACAGCTGGTTGAGTTATGTCGGAACACAGCACAAAGGTTAACTGCACAACAACATTTCCTAAAGCACTGACTAAGTTGTGAAAACTGTCCAGCAGGCTATAAGACCAAAATTTCTATATCCATCTTTTGTAATTAGTATTAACAGGATACACATTCTAAAACAATTAAGTATATATTATATGAATCTTGCACGTCAATATATAGAATTAGAATTTAAATACGTTTTTGTCAACATTAAAATGTAGTTAAAAAAAAAAAGAGCAATTGTAACAATAATAATTCAAATGTTTATACTTTGGGAATGAGAACAGTGTGAAGAAACAAATCTACACCACATATAAGGAAAATAAAAGATCAACAAACACATTCCAGCCCTGTACATAATGTACACACCATCTGAGATTCCAGACCCACACATAAACTAATGTACACAACATTTGAGATTCCAGCCCCCCCCCCCCCCCACACACACACACACAATGTACACAACATTGGAGATTCCAGCCCCACACAGAAACTAATATCTACACCATCTGAGATTCCAGCCCCACACATAATGTTCACACCATCTGAGATTCCAGCCCAACACATAATGTGTACACACCATTTGGGATTCCAGCCCCACACATAATGTACACAGCATCTGAGATTCCAGCCCCACACATAATGTACACACCATTTGGGATTCCAACCCCACACATAATGTACACAGCATCTGAGATTCCAGCCCCACACATAATGTACACACCATTTGGGATTCCAGCCCCACATATAATGTACACACCATTTGAGATTCCAGCCCCACATATAATGTACACACCATCTGAGATTCCAGCCTACACATAATGTACACACCATCTGAGATTCCAGCCCCACACATAATGTACACAGCATCTGAGATTCCAGCCCCACACATAATGTACACACCATTTAGGATTCCAGCCCCACACATAATGTACACAGCATCTGAGATTCCAGCCCCACACATAATGTACACACCATTTGGGATTCCAGCCCCACACATAATGTACACAGCATCTGAGATTCCAGCCCCACACATAATGTACACACCATTTGAGACTCCAGCCTACACATAATGTACACACCATTTGGGATTCCAGCCCCACACATAATGTACACAGCATCTGAGATTCTAGCCCCACACATAATGTACACACCATTTGGGATTCCAGCCCCACATATAATGTACACACCATTTGAGATTCCAGCCCCACATATAATGTACATACCATCTGAGATTCCAGCCTACACATAATGTACACACCATCTGAGATTCCAGCCCCACACATAATGTACACACCATTTGAGATTCCAGCCTACACATAATGTACACACCATTTGAGATTCCAGCCTACACATAATGTACACACCATTTGAGATTCCAGCCTACACATAATGTACACACCATTTGAGATTCCAGCCTACACATAATGTACACACCATTTGAGATTCCAGCCTACACATAATGTACACACCATCTGAGACTCCAGCCCCACACAGAAACTAATATCTACACCATCTGAGATTCCAGCCCCACACATAATGTCCACACCATTTGAGATTCCAGCCCCACACAATTAATGTACAGGAATTAAAAATGCTGCACTTTTACAAAGCACATATATTAGCAAACTAAATAAACTTTATAGAAGCCTAATGTAACTGTTTTTTTAAAGGTGCCAAAATTGGTGATGCTAAGATGTAAAACTGCTTGTAGTGATCAACTTTAATACTGGTATAGGAACTTAATTGTATCCAAAGTTCTATCTTAAGGCAAAAACTGTGTTAATGTTACGTTTACAACAATGTTAGTAAGGTGACTCCATCTACTCAACATCAAGGTCTTAATATATAAATAAGGTAATATTATAAATAGTGGGTTCTTATAATAAAATGTTGACAGCACAATAGAGTTGTAAAATACTGCTGGTAACATGTAATGGTGAGAGTTAGGATTTCATTATCAAGTTTTTTTTATTCAAAGTTTAAGGTAACACAAAATCATCCACTAGATCAGGGGTCTCCAAACTTTTCAGTCTGAGAGCCCGCATTAACTATCAAATTTCAGTTCGGGGGCCAGTTAATTTCAAACATGACTTTGATTTTTCTGGGCAAAGCTCCTCAGCCATCACCAACAAACGTTTTTTCCGTGGACAAAAAGATCGCAGTGGGCCGGATGAGAGGACCTCGCGGGTCGGATCCGGCCAGCGGGCCGTAATTTGGAGACCCCTGCACTAGATGAATGATCTCATAGAGAAAACAACATTGACTTCATAACAAATAGGTCTTCACAGCTTTTAAAATGTCTACTGATATTTTAATAAATAAGAACTAAATAGCCTGTTTACTATTTGGTCTAGTAGTATAGGACCTAAATATTATAATATTTGTTTATGTTTTAATAAGGTATTTTTGGCAAAGAGGTAAAGAAGACCTTTTTAGCAAAGAATTACAGATCTATAGAACTATAACTAGTATAACTGTAGACACCAGAGTTTCTTCCAGGAATCTCTTCGGGGAGGGTGCCCCCCCCCCCCCCCAAAGTAAGTCTACCGTCCCCACGAACGAAATGGATTTTATATGGAAATATATACATTTAACAGTGTCCGCCCCCCCCCCCCCTGAACGAAATGGAATTTATATATAAAATATACCTATACATTTAACACTGCCCCCCCCCCCCCCCAAGAAAGCCCCCCCCCCCCCCCCCCCGGAGAAAAAAGTCTGGAAGAAACACTGATAGACACAGGGAGGTACTGTATCATTGTTTAATACTAGATCTGTGTGTTTAGGCCTAATTGTTATTTAATTATTCATTTGAAGTAATTAGACTGGCCTGAATCATTAAATTCAAGATAATTTTTTTTTTAATTTTCAAGTTATTGTACCACACTAATTACAATTACTAGAGTAAGGCTTCTGCTTGAAATTTTAATAAAGAAGGCGTTGCCAAATAACTGTCTTTTTCTTAGAAGTCGTAGATCTATAAACTATAAATAATCTATAGCCGAGTGACTATAGCCTGCTACCACTGCTAGATCTATTTAATATCAGTACTTGTAGGCCTAGTAAGTAATATATTTAAATTATATATTTATTATAATTTATATTGTAATAAGTAAGTTAATAAACGTAATAAAATAAGACCTGTTTGTTACAATTAAGTATTTATTAAGTAAGTACTGTGTAGCAGACTGTAGATTGATAGTGGTTGTGTAAATTATTCTAAATAAATTAAATAAATAGGCTACTTATTTACTTTTATAAAGACTACGTAAAATAAACCTTACCTTTTCTTTCAGTGAACATTGTCATTGTTTAGTGTGGCTTCCGCTAACTTTTGTGGTTAGGGCTCAGAAGTCTCTGAAGTCTGAACTCAGGTCAATATCCCCATGGCCCAAATAATCCCTTTCTCGTTAGAATTTCTGTTATCTTTACTCCATCGATTTGTTTGCTCTAGATCTGTTTTTAAAACATAGAAGTCAAAACCTAACTGATATACTTTTTAGTTCTTTCTACCAACATCTAGATCTATAAAACTTAGGTGTAAGATCTAGACCTAGAGTCTAGATAACTGCAAACTTAACTAAATAAATAGGCCTAAAGAGTAAAGATGAAGCTGCGTCTCAGGCCCACAATGTTGTTAAAATTCATATGCCAGATTTTTTTACGCAAGGCACATAGAATCTAGAGTTAGATCAAGATCTACGCCTATACTAGAAACAGGCTTTATAACATTGGCCACTTAAAACAAATCTAACTATATTTCACACGTTCAAAAAGCATTTATTGATATTCCCTTAAGAGTTAATTTCCAGGTATTACAGCGTATTAGATTTAGATCCAAGTGTTTTTAATAAGTATAAAGTTAAAGCTAGGGCCTAGTTGTATTTAACAAATAATAAAAAATGTATTGATTATTTCCCCTGAATAACCAATCTTTTTAACTGGTGGTGTTGTGTGTCAACTCACCAATCGAGTTTGTAATAGAAATACTTTGTCTGGAGTCTAGTGGACCCTCTCTAGATCGAGTCTAGATTAGATTCTAGATCTAGATCTCAGTATTTCATGTTATTGTTGAAGAATTTTTAGAATAGTCATCATGGCCGTTAGACCTACTGAGTTATAAAATAAATGTGCACCAATATTATTTCATTAAACTGAAAACGAGTATCGGTACGTTAGCTAGTTTACCGGCTTTGACTGGCGGATAAGTTCGTTGGATAGACAAAAGTCAAAAGCTGATATTGATAATCAAAAGTTTTCTTAAGTGAAAAATAGTAAATAGATTCTACAATAAAAAGCAGATTATAGATTTTGGATGATTGTTTATCTAGATCTACTTTATACCCTGTCCGATAATTGCTAAATTATTATAGGCCTAGGGCCTAAAAACCCTAAATAATAAAAATTTAAAATATTAAATAAAATGGTAATCTATCGTTTTGGGTACGTAAAATCAAAAATCGCCCGCGACTAGTAATGTGAAAAACAGGTGACTCCTTACATTTTAATAATTATTTCACATTTTGAGGAGGATTTATAATTTATGTTTTGAAAAATACAAAAATGTTTCCTTGTTTCATTTATGTACCTGTTTTTAAACAATTGAATTAGAACTTTTCAGTAATAAATGAACACCAGCGATGTTTCCAACAGATGCATCCATACTCATTTACTATAGCAGCCATCTTGTTAAAGTTTTATTTTTATAGACTTATAGCGCGAGATTCAGGCTGAAGTCACTCTATTTTACAAATGGCTGCTGTTTATATAGTAGTTTTTCTCACTAAATCTAGAATTTACGCAATTATCAATTTAAACATGACCACTGAATAATAGACATCCATATTTAATCCATTAGGCACTAACTTTGGAGTTTTTAGTTCGTTTTAAACTAAATTAGGCCCTACTTAATTTAATATTTATTGTCAATCACTGCCATGTTCAACATATCTCTCCATGACAACCCTTCTTAAGCTTGAAGCTAAAGAAAACCACAAATCAAGTTAGACTTTTTAAGTGGCCATGCACAAGAGTTCCTCACTATTGATCACCAAATAGTGGTCACGTGGTTTTTTTTTTTTAAAAAAATTTGGTTGTCATTTTTTCGGCTGGTCTCATAAAAAAACGGTTGACGATATTTGATTTATGTTTTCATAGACTGATAAAACTAATAATGCTTTAGTATGGAAATAAATTTTGTAATATGGAAATCGATATTTAAAAAGTTCTAGTATTTTTGATGAAACCAACTTTTAAATTTAGCCTTCATTCTCCAACGCAAATTTTAAAATGCTTTTCTGGCATATATAGCCCTGCCACCTATAGCTTGTTGTTATAACGTGAAAGTCCCGCCATTTTGCGCGTGGTAAACATTTTAAAAACTAATTAGTAGAAGGTCTCTGGAATTTGGCCGAAAAATCGTCGGAAGTCAAGCGTCCGGTCCGGGCGCCATATTGTTGTTAGCAACCGACCACGCCTCCAAGTTAGCGAGTAATACTATTATATAGCTATTCTTGCTTGCAGACACTGCTGTTTAAAGTTAATTTCTGGCCTATATTGATATATTTAGCCATTGATTTAGGTTTATTATTCATTTATCTATAATATTTGACACAAACATATCACAATATACTTCTATTACAGCCTTCACAATGAGGTAACGTTTTCGTACATTAATAGCCGTGAACGATTTTACGTACCCAAAACGATAGATTACCAATAAAATAAATATTAGGCCCTACTATACTACTAATAGTAATAGAATCTTCTTAGAAAATGGTTTTTTGTTTTATTAGTGAGGCCTCTCATACTCCCTGACTGTTGGTCCGTTATGGTAAAACTCCATTTTAGCCTATTTTATTCCCCGCTTCACGTTCACCTCCTGTTAAGCGTATTTTATTATAAACTTATAAACACATTCGAAACACACAAAAACGTCAGGAAAACTCTAAGCCTATTTCTTTATGAATTTTAGATAATGGACTTTTGTCAAAACTTGAGAAAAATCCAAATTTGGAATTAGGGCCTATTGAATTTGCACTATTTATTTGGATCTAGATCTAGAATCTAGATTTAACTTTTTTTTATATTCTTGAAAATATGTTTGAGTCAGTTAGAATTTCCATGGCGATGGGTAAAGTACAAAACTCATAATTGCAAGGCGGTTAAGTTTGTATTGTTAAAAGTATTTCGCACGCATGATACTATAAATAAACATATATTATTATATGACATGAACTCACAATGACCCCAAAACTGAGGCCACCACAATTTCAAATAGCAATTGCCCAAGCTATGACGTATGCTGATGGGATAATTAAAGTGAATGTGAACTCACGATGAATCCTCGACCGTGTAGGGATTTTTCTCACGGCAACGTTGTGTTTATAATAAACAACGTTCAACCGGAGGTGTACGCGAAGCGGCGAATAAAATGGTGTTTTACTGTCTGTTACTAACACTGAGTGAGTAACACAACAGTGACTGTTACCACTGTTGTGTTAGTAACAGTGTTACTCAATACTAGGCAAGGTGTTAGGTTAGGCTACTGGCACTTGTCTGGTAGTTAACTAAATTAATAGATCTAGAATCTAGTACTAAATACACATGTGACTCACTTGCTAATGTCAATGCTAACCCCAACACCTACCACTTGTCCTACCAGTACCATATGCTTATTATGTATCCAATTCCTAATTGTATCCTACTGAAATCTTCATTAATATTACTTTATTTTTCTATACAGTTCAACTTAATTTGATTTTACTTTTTTGTGGTCTATGCTTCTCTTGATAAAAATATAATTATTTCATTAGCAGTAGAAGTAAAAATGATGTGTGTATGGGTATAATTTTGAATTCACACTGATAATAAAAGTTGATAATTATAATATGAGCTAGATGAAAAAAGTTTAGAATTTAGTAGTTGGTTTTTTAATAAAAGTGTAAAAGAAAAACAAAATAATTAATTGTAGGCCTAGGCTAAATTTTATTTTTCTTTGCTGCTCATTTATCCAGGTGGTCTTTCATTCTAAGTTTCTTAGGAAGTCACCATCTCGGTTATCAATCAAGTGTTTGTAATATATTTTAGACTTTAAGTAAGAAAACTTTTATGTAATTAGTTAATAGATCTATCTATATCATTGCTCTATGGATATAAATTAAAATTAACATAGCATAATTTTAATTATAAAATTCACCATTATGTTTAGGCCTATAAATACATCTTTTTCTTTTAAAGTTTTAAACATGGCAGCTGAAATGGTTCAAAGTGTCATTGAAATAATGGACTCTGCTCACAATTATCGTTATGAACTTGCAGAAGTTCTGGACGGTATCAAAAGTTTACAGTATCAGGTAATGTTTTTTTTATCCGGTGTCCTTTCTGTTTATTCTAGTTCTAGTAGTACTCCAAAGAAAATCTTAAGTTTGAGCAGCATTGGCTTTTTCTATTTGATCATTTTGTTTATGTATTTTGCATTAAGTTGGACATTTTTTTTAAAATATGGCAATATTATATATTTTCTTATCTTTTCTACTTTATTAAGCATTTTAGTTTGAGTATTTAGTTTTGCAACTGAACTTTGTTGTGATGGGGTTTTGTAAACAGTCTCAACAGCTAGAGGGAATAGGTCATTGATATGAGCTTGCCAGTAAACCTCTCATTCTTACATGGTTAAATTTCTTGTTTGTTTAAATAAAAATTCATCTTTTTTTCATCAACAAAAATCATATTCTCATTTCCACAGATTAATTGGAGCAGTGATTCATCAAAGAAAGCAGTTGAAACACACTTTACCTTGTTGAAAAGTTCCCTTATAACAGCTCTAGATAAACGGTTAGATCAGCTAAATAATGAAATTGAAACCATTAGGGAATCTGCATTAAAACCACTGGATGAATGTAAAACATTAGTTGATGAAAGTTTGAAATTGGCAGCTCAAGTGATGGATGAAGGTACGGCATCTTTCTCTGATCATTTACATGAGAATACAAATAATTAACCTTTAATACACAACATAGAACTGTCTGCCAAGTTAATGAACTTTATGATATTTTTTATTATCTTTCAGTTATCATTTATCTAATTTTTATTATCTCTTCTACTTTTTCTTATTGGGCTATTTAAAATTGTTGGTATCCTTGTTTTATTTTAAGTGCCTTATAATTTAGGTTATTATCAATTCAATATGCTAAGTAGTTTTTATCCATTTTTATTTTGAGGGAAGGTTTATTTTTCCTGCACCATTTCTGAGTAATAGTCATAAATACTATTTTATTTTAGGTGCATCTATTCTAAGCATTGATCCAGAAAACAATGTGGACAAGATTCTTAAGTTTAAAGAAAATCCAATAACAAAATCATTGTCCAGGTATGCTATAATTTCACCACCAACAACAATACCAGCAGAAAAAACACTTTGTAACAACTGCAGGCAGTCATAAAAATACCATTATTTTTGTAGTTGCTTAACATTTGTGATTTCCCCGCTCTTCAATTAATCATTTATCCATAAAAGTTATTAACAGCTAATTATAGAAACTTAAATCTTTTTGTAAAGATGATTAACGCTTATTTTAGATACTGTTGTTGTGATAATTTTCAGTGTTCCAGCTATACCTAGCCTGGCAGAAGTAGCATGTGTGAATGTCAGTCTGTCTCCAGATTTCCAGAAACAAATGGAGGCAGTTATTAGCTTGGAAGGAAAAGTAATGGCACGAGCACCTGTTCAGATCATAGATGCCATAGAAAAACCTGGAAGTCTTTTATTGCAGTGGGCAGATGAGGTAACTATAGCACTTATTTCACTTCATACACACTGTATACACCTGTATATCTTAATGTTAAATCTGTTAGCCGACAATTCATTGTTTGACATGTTAAATTATTTTGATTATAACAAATAATTTCATTCATAATATAAACACTTCATATTTTTTTTTAAAGGCTGATGAGGATGTTGAAATTAATGAATTTTGGCTGCAATATGCTATGGGCAGCTACAAAGATACCAATGAACCAAATGCAGTTTTCCATACAGCTTATACTGGTAGCTCAACTAGTCACCTTGTCAAGCACCTGCGCACACAAACACCATACACATTTAGAGTGTGTGGTAGAGGGGAAGCCAGTACACCTTGGTCAGCATGGAGTGTGCCTAAAATAGCTGCCACAACTATACTCCACTATCGTATGTCATTTAATTACACTGTTGCCCTTTCATTGACCATTTTTTGTACATGCTTTTTTTCCAATGCCTGTCTTTGTTTTGAGAGTAAGGGACGCAACTCAATTTTTTTTTTAATGTCCATATTTTCCAAATTTATCTTTATCACATACTAAATTTTTTAAATTTGGCTCATGAAGAAGTTTTCTTAGCGAGTAAAGGAGAGACCTGGTATAAATATTGAAATATTTCAAGAAATCATACAAACCTAAGTGCATCTCTCACTTCTAATTTATAATTTGTTTCAAAATCAATGCAGAATTTTCTTTCTCTTTAAAAGTTATTTATTATAGATCACACTCTTAACAGAGAAGGTTCTGGCTTTTGTTGTGCCTTGCTTTAAATATCCTGCAAACATATTAAAGCATATAGATATTATTTGAAAGTTGAAACAATTAGTTTTAATTTAACCAAGTGGTCCGTAGATGGCATTACCAATGTTAAACTATGTAGAGAAATGTGATCTAGGTTAAACATATCTTATAGATAAGTAAATACTATTTATTAAAGAAAACGTTATAGTTTTTGTAATTTAATGTAAAGGTTCAGTGGTAAATTGATATTTGTGTTTCAGAATGGGGACCTTCTGAAAACCCAGCATATGCTCTAAGTAACGAGAATAAGACAGCCACTCGCACATCTAAAGGATTGACTCATGTCTTGTATTCCAACACTGCTAGTTTCATTCCTGGTAACATTCTAACCATCAAGGTGTTGGACGGAGCAGACAAGTCCCCAGGGGATGGGCTGTGTATTTGTCTCAAAAACACTGATAATGATCATTTTGGGCAGGATGGGGTAGTTTATGTCAATTTATATGGTAAGTTTAGACGAACTGCATATAGTTGCCCTAACTTTTTTTATTAAACCTAACCCAGACATTAGCAGTATTGCAGGCAGGAAAAAAAATTACATAATACCTTTTAAGAACCAATTTTTAATTAAAATTTCTCCTTTTTCTGCTAACTCTATTTAATAAAATCATAATTTCATTTTTCATGGTAATTACATGAAAGTGCTTTGTATTAACTTGTATGTGTTGAAGATGTCACAAACTGGTTTATTTTTACTACAATATGTCAAGTATCATACAAAGTATCATAGTTAATTATAGTAATCTCAATGTTTTTCTAATCAACAGGTTCCATATTTGTAGATGGACAAGAGAAAACAATGAAACTCCCTGAAATAAAGAAAGGGTCAGTAGTATCTTTCCAGGCAGAAGAGCTATCCAATGGCAAGGTTAGGGTCAGTATACAGACTGAGGATAAAGAGGTGACCTTTGACTGGAAGGTTTTAACCAGCAGTTCATCTCTGGGCTTATTGTCTGCCCCTGGAGATGCTTCTAATTCCCACATAGCTTTTTACTTTGGTATTAAATTTAGTCAGGAAGATTGGAAGATAGCTGTTGATTGATTTTATTTTTACTTAATTTAATTTTTAAACATGCATTTATGCTAACTAACAACTTTGACAGTTGTGAAATTATTGATATTAATTGTCTCCAAATGGTTTCAAATACAGGTTATAATTTACTTTGTTTGCATGGTTGAATGAATAAGATTTAAGAATTGGAAATCAATCCAAGGGAGATAATTTTTTTTTAATATGTCTGTGTTCCAGTGCCTATCTAACTACATTTCCTTTGTTAATTGTAAAAAAATTTTACCTGTCATTGAAATGAAGTGGTTTTTTTCCACCTGAGTAATTTCAAGTTTAAAATTTAATTGTCTGATTTTAACTGGTGATTGTTATTTTAACAATTTTCATTAAAAGTTGTTTTAGATGATTAACCCAGCATTATTTACATGTAATTCTTTTAATAAAAGAAAAAGCTTCTTAGAAATTTCAAAACAATTGCTATTCTTGATTTTATTTTTTTCTAGTATAGATTTCTAATTAAATTTTAACAAAATTGGTTTCCTATATTTCACTTTTCATTGAACTAAAACAATGGCAAGTGGAAATTTGATGGGAGTAACAGGGGAATGAAACTTAGCCTTGTACAGTTGATGCTAAAATGTGATGATGTGTTGTGTAGTTCTGATAAACTATGTTTTAAAAACAAGCAATTCCTACACAATTAAACATCTTTATTCAGAAATAGTATCAATAAAACATATAATGGTGGTATGCTTTTAAATGTAATAGAAATAAGAAAGTCCATGTACTTAAGTGTTGGTCGCTGTACAAATATTTTCAAATCCTGACCTACATTTGTAACTTATTTTTGCTACACTAATTGCTAAAGCTAAAGAACGTTTTATTATTTTTATTTTTAATGCATTTATAAGCTAGTTATTGTAAATTATTTTATACTTGTTTTCTTTTCACACTTTTGATATTTAGTTATTGTAAAGATAAAAGTATGTTGATACTTAGTTTATAAAAACAATTAGTATTTTATTTATTTATCCCAAAGTGATCATCCTTATGTCAACACCTATCTTGATTAAAAGTAATCAGTGTATACCAGAACTACTCAATGTTGCCAATATTCCCTTAAAAGTAGCTATCTTAAGTCATGAACACCTGCTCACTAACTGGTTAAATAAACCCTAATAATACTTGAAAATTTATACTTTGAAATATCCATAACATCTTACAATTGAAAAAAAATCTTTTTAGATTGATATTGTGCGCAAATTGTGTATTAGGCTTAAACTTAAACTCTCAGTTTTCTTTTCAATAGTCTCCTTGAGTAAGTCACCAAAAAAGAGAAATATTTTTGGTGCACTTTCCACTCCCATGTTACAAACTGGCTATACATTTGCACACAAGTAAAACTAATCTTAAATAAGTCTACTGGTTTGGGTGATACTCCTACCAACTAATAGTTATATATGATGTACTAAACTGTAGATCTTTTGCTGTTATCCTCAAACCAGGTGATGTCACAGTTTGCTGAAAGATACATAAACTAACTGCAAATAATTTTTTTTCATCTTTGCTTGACAACTTATGCCTACAAAGTCACTTTACAAATGTAATTTATGACAATAATAAAACAATAACCAAGGGTTAATTCATAAACACATTTAAATAAAACAAATTTAAAAAAAAAAAAAGCTTTTAAACGCACTAAAAATAAGATAAAACAAGATTGCTTAAGTCTAATTAGATTAAAAAGTAATGTATTCTTGCACTGTCATCAAAGAAGAAGGTATCTGGAAAGTTGGAATGAAATTGCTGCATTGAAACTGGGTCAAAAAAGAGTTACAAGATTTGCCATAAACCCACAAACGGGACGTTGCGAACTAAAAATACAAGCTTGTGAAAAAAAAAATCAAAGCACTAATAGGCTCATTACAGCCACGATAATGGTGGTCCCTGTCGCTAGGCCAATGTCATGCATGTTATAAAATAATGCACAGCTACTTAAATTATTCGTGGGTAGGCCCATGTCGTCATGGGTTGCAACGACCTTTGCTCATTTATTTTGCCTTCTCGTGGCCTATCAGGAATAAGAGTAGCTCATCTACACTCTATATCTACAATAGCCTACATTAATTTTCATTACACGGTCGTGCTTCAAATATTTTGGCGGGTCAAAACAGGCAAACGTATTTTTAAAAGCTAACTTTCCAAGACATTTGGAAGGCAACAGTTACAGTATATTTGATATAATATTTTAGAACTCATTTTGGTTTTTAAAAAATGCCAAAAAGACAATTAAACAACAGGCCGTCTAAAAATAGCAACCCGTATTTACACACCACTAATGGAAAATTTTAGGAACGAAGTCACAACACAAAGAAAGCATCTAGAACTAGATCTATGATAGCGCTAACAGAACCGCTTCTTTTGAGAATAATATGACTGATTAGTTCTGAATTTCTGAAAATAAAGCATAACTGACGAAACAGATTGCTTTCTACTGATTTTTTTTTACAGCAACAGATGAATAAAAATGAAGGATAACAGATAAAGAGAGTCATCGAAAATAGTATTGGTTTGACAACCGCTTTAGCCACCTCAAAACGAAAGGTAAGGTGCGTAGAAATTAAGACGAAAATTATTTTATTCATTCAACGTGTGCTTTATTAACAGCTTCGCGCACACCTTGAATGTTTACTGTTTAGCATAAATTGTTGAGCTTATAATAATTAAGGCATCTGTATCTCATATTGTGTCGAACTTATGTTAATGCGAGGTTTCATACAAATCTAATTAATAATTAGCGTGGTCACTAAAAACCATGCAATAACTCATTTTATTATTTTGTATAAAAACTAAAGCGCGAATCCCCCTTACGTTATAAATAAAATTAGAATGCGACCTTCCCAGTCGTAGCAAGGTCAAGGTCCAATGTATTTCGTATAAGAGTATAATAAGACAGCTGATTTGCTTAGTCCCGCAGCTTGCAACGAAGTGATCGTAGGCCTATCAGACTTCGATTAAAATTTTAGTTTAGGGGCCTAATATGCCAAGAGACAAACCGTGTGGCTCATTTAGCTGATATCGTAAATACATAATTCAAGGATATGGGGTAAGTCATTAATTTTAAATAATAAAAAATGGTCTGTAGTGACTTCAAATGTCACTGTCTCACATTAAAAAAGTTATGTAGGTTAATATTTTCAATAGGATGGGCTTTTTCTGTCGTATGTAACTTTGTGGTATGACGCCATTTTTTCCCTATTGCCAGTTTTATCTTTTTTTTTTTTTACTTTATACAGGCCACAAAAGTAAAGATCTAGGCATACAAATAAATATAATTAATATGCCTAACTGCTAACGCCCAGCCCTCTACTCTAATGATTTACTAGAATCTAGATCTAGACATATCTATTCTAAGTCAACTAGATAGATCTAGATCTAGAATCTAGAGTCTAGACTCTAGTTAGTTAAGTTAGGGCAGGGCCTACAGTTACACTACAGTAGATTCTAGATCTCTAGAAAAATTGCTTTATTAATAAATTGAATAATAGATATAGATTCTGTTTGGGAATGGGGGGGGGGGGGGGATAGAATTTAGGATTTAATCATCCTTTTGACTAACATTTTTAATTTAGGCCTAGGCTAGGTCTTATGACTTAATTTTATAATTTAGCCTATAGGGCTAAAATATAGTATTATTTCATATATTGTGTCAGATCATAGAATAAACTAAGTAAAAGAGATCAGGCCTTCTAGATCTATTCTCTCAGTATCTAGATTAGATCTAGATCTGATCTAGAAGTCTTTAGGGCCCTAACTACTAGATCTATACTTACTATATATATATATCTAGAAAAATCTAGATCTACATGGGCCTTTTAATAGTACTTGTGTTCGGTACATCGTACAATAGGCTATAGGCCTAAAGTATACAGCAGGTCCTATAATCTATAGTCTATGTACTAACTATGTAGGCTATAACTATAAGTACTATAAGTAGATCTCAATTCTACCACTACCAGACACTTTACTTAAAAAAGCCTGAACTTAAAAAAATTTAACTGAAAAGGCCAAGAATCTAAATATTGATATAAAGCACATAATTATATTAATCCACCTATTAATTCAGGTGAAAAAGCACAGTTTTCTTAGTAAATTATTAGATGTGGTGTAATAGCAAGGATGTTTATCTATAGTCAGTTATTAATACAGCTGAATGCAACATTGTTTTCTCTATATTTATTTAGCAAATTTACTTCATGGTGTCACATGTATTGTTTCAGTGTCATATATTAAAACAAAGGTCTACTTTCTTAATTTAAACTTTTTAAAAAAATTGAAACTCCAATTTAACCTTGACAATAGCATTGGAAGCTTACTTTCACTTACTTTCACTTTGATCAGCTAAAAAAGATAGAACTATATATAACGGGGGGGGGGGGGCGACGGGACCGCACCGGGTGACACCATTTAGGGGGTGACACCAAGGCAAAAAATAGCAAAATATATAGAGAAAAACTTGAGGGGGGGGGGGGTGCTAATAGAAAATTTGAAAGTTTGTTCCCGGGAAGTGTCGCTATGTCTCTGGGGGGTGACACCATTAAGTGCCGCACCGGGTGACACCCGACCTCGCTACACCACTGGTGTGTAACGATGTGCAAGTCTTAAATTGTTTTTAGTTATCACTGAGTATTTTATTGTTTTAAGACTTGAGTAACCTAGCACTATCCACTAGTTAATTAATCATGTGGTTTTTTGTTAAACTTTTTAGTTGTATGTGTATATACAAATGGTTTTATATAGTCTTAATGGATTATGTATTGTAGACACTATTTCATTTCTTTGGTTAGCTCTGGCCACTGTACACCTATTTAAATGTGAGCAAATGAGTAAAATCTCATTGACCACTGGTTTCACATGGGCAAGCTGGTCATTCTTTTCAAAATACAGTTAACTTTCATCATTTTCAATATCAGTGTATTGAAACAAGCTGATTCTAAGTGGCCTGCTTGTCTGGGGAGGGCACATTTCTTAAACCTTTCAGTCTGAGTCACATGTGTAAGGATTAATCAAGTGTTTAAATTATTAAACCAGGATTTCCTATCTCTGGTGCAAGGCTTGTGTGACGGATTGAAGATTATGATACATGTAGTACACCTCTTAATTAAAGTTTGGTTGATACAACAGGAGAGGGTGATGGATCACTGGGAATGGACAAAACACTTTACAGGGACACAAGTTTAATGCAGACTTAGCGAAGCTTAGTGGTTCAGTTTGCTGGAAGGGTGCTGCTGGGGACGGGGGGGAAAGTGTTAACTGTTGTGTGTGAAAAGAAACCATTAACACCTACCATTAAATGGTCACATGCCTTTTCTAGGATGATAAAGAGTTCTAAATCCTATAGTGTTATTTGATTCTAAATAAAAGTCAGTATTATCATATTTAATCTGAAGTTTATAAAAAAAAATATTTTAACAAAAATTTTATAGGTTTTGTCCACATAAAGAAACTAAGCAATATTAAAACATTCGTCAATTTAATTAAATGTGATTAGTGATGTGAACTTTGTACCTTAACAAAGGGCTTGAGTGCTAAAAAAAATCATGAAGTTAATTGTTGTAATTTATATATCTTGGAACAGTCACATGTATGTCATGGTAGTGAAAAAATTTCCACTACTTAATGACAATGATAAGAAAAGCTATAATTAGCCTACATTTGACCTACTTAAGGACTGTTAAATTTAACACCTTGTAAAATGTTTCCTTTTCATTTAAACAAAAGTTAACAGTTAATGTGCTGACACAGTAATACCATATGTAATTTAAAGTTACTATTTCAATAATAAAAACTAAATGTCTGAGCTTTAAGCCTAAAATTAACTTAATTCATGTTGTTTTATTACTCATATTGCTGCCCCACTGCTGATAAAGTGATGTTGTCTTGTGTTTTCTATTTTAACTTCCGTCTGTTTTTGTTGATTAACTGTTGACATGATTTTTATCTTCTATTTTTCAGAGTTTTCCTGATGTTGGACACACGCTGGAGATATAATCTAAGCCCTCATAGCAAACCTGACTATAATTGGAGTGACCTTAGGCTATCCTACTTTACTCAATCCTCCATCAGTTCAATGACTAAACTATATTCTGATCTAAACTATATCCACATCTTATACAATAATCAGTTTCAGATCTTATGTAGTCAGTTATATCAGCTCTCTATAGGAATCTTTTTCATTGATGTAGAATTGTTAGAAAATATTGGACTCTCTGAAACTTTTCTTAGATTTCGTAAAAAGTTAGTTTTACCATGTCTATTGATATTTGTGAGTCTGCTTTACAAAATGAGAAGCTGCCTCCTTTTGGCTGCAGCACTAGTCTGTCTGTTGATGGGCATCTTTCCAACTCTGTCAATAGGGAAGGCAAGGAGTCTGAGGCATTAAGTGCCACAGAGTCTCATCATCTGTTGCAGAAGTGTGAAACGCAAGAGAATGAATCAGAAATTGACCCAGATACATTTTACAGTTGGCTCCGTCCACCGTTTGATGGCATGGCTATTGGTAAAAAGTCCAAAAACAACAGCGAAACCAGCATTAGCTCTAGCAGCAGCTCTTCCTTACCTGTTCCCACCCCGCCTGATGGAGGCTGGGGTTGGCTTGTTGTTCTTGGTGCGTTCTCCGTCAGTCTGATATGTGATGGCTTGTCCTACTGCTTTGGTGTTTTGTATGCAGAGCTGTTGGAGCAGTTTGGCGAGAGTCGCAGTAAGACCTCTCTGGTTGGTAGCATTTTCTTTGGTGTGGCCATGATCCTGGGCCCTTTCTCTAGCGCCCTGACTACAAGATTTGGCAGTCGAACAATGACCATCACTGGAGGGCTGTTGGCTTGCTTTGGTATGATTCTCAGCCATTTTGCAACTTCAATAGAGATGCTTTGTTTTACTTTCAGTGTTATTGTTGGAACTGGCTTCTCGTTTTGCTACATTTCAAGTGTAGTCATTGTTTCGTTTTACTTTGACAAGAGGAGATCACTTGCAACAGGTTTAGCTGTATGTGGTACTGGCGTAGGGACTGTCACTTTTGCTCCTCTTATGGACTATCTCATTACTGAGTATGGGATGAGAGGTCTGTTTCTGATTATGGCTGGGATCAGTTTAAATTTAGTAGTTTGCGGCATGCTGTTTAGACCCTTGCAGTTTACAGAAAGTGAAAGGTGGGAGATGCTTCTAGAAGAATTTAACAAAATTCCTTACAGTAGAGAAGATATTGAGCTAGGCAGAAGTCGGTATCCAAGTGAATCTAGCACCCACGGGTCTGATGAGGACGAAGAAGAGGATGTTGAAGCGCGGACCTTGTCTGTACTGAGCTTACCTACTTTTGTATCTGCCAAACTGATGGACATTCCTTCAGACATTCTGATGGAGGCGCTGAAGACAAGCAGAAACCCCCACCTGACCCTACAGAGATACATGAAGAATGCCATGCTTCACATCAATGATGTTAACGAACAGAAGGCCTTGTTACAAGATCAGGGGGATGGAGACTACAACAATTCTAACTCACTTAAAGGCAATGATGAGGTGAAGATTGAGGAAGCCATAGAAAGCCTGCCTTCCTCCTTGATAGACGATACCATTCTAAAGCTGGCCCAGTCATCAAGTGTCTTATTCAAGAGTCACCCCATTAACGGTGAAGATGGTAAACTCAATGATAAACAGAGCAAAGCTAACCATGTCAAGTCACCAGGAGCACAGATATTTATAGAAATTGAACCTTTTGGAAAAGAAACACACCCAATGATTAAAGACCCAGCGGGGGGAAAAGTTGAAGCTAAAGTTAAAGATGACACCAAATCCAAACCTAAGCGCCAAGGGTCAATTCCTCATGACGACTCTAAACCCAAACCTGTGGATACAAAACAAAAGATGGGCCCACACAGAAGAGAGTTTTCAGGCATGAGCAGCATGCTGACAGACAAAGGCTGCGTCAAAGAAGGCGTGACTGTAGTCAAAAGAGTAGGGGGTGTGCACATAGGTCGTCACAATGCCCTGGGTATTCATCTCCCTTTGTATAGGACTGATATCTTCTACAGGCGGCTGTTGAAGAACAATAGCCTCCACAAAAACTGCACCCTTGCTACTAGCTGCCCTGAGCTTTCTGAAGCTGTTGTTGTTGAGGCGGAGAGAAACTTCTTATGCAAAATGTTTATCAATTTTTTCGAGGAATCTATGGATATTTTGAAGAGTATGGTTGAATTTCAACTTTTCTGCAATCCATTCTTTATTGTATTTGTTCTCTCCAATTTTATCTACTATTTCTGGAGTGATGTCCCATACATGTATGCAGCAGACCATGCAATGGACAACAAAGTTGACGCTCGTAATGCATCATTTCTTTTATCAATTATTGGCATCTTCAACACCATAGGTCAGGTTGTGTTTGGAATAGTTGGGGACTTGAATATCAATCTGCAGAATGTCTATGCTATTGTCTCCTCACTAGCTGGTCTGTTTGTGGCAATCATCCCTTTCATGACTACCTATGTCAACATGTGTATTGGCTACAGTTTGTTTGGGTTTTGTATCAGCGTTAGCTTCCCTCTCACTACAGTTTTACTCATTAGGTTCCTGGGGGTCTCTAAACTGACTAATGCCTATGGGCTGCTCATGCTTATGCAAGGTATTGCTAACTTCCTGGGGCCTCCATTTGCAGGTGAGTTCAATTTGTAAAATAAGATGTTTGTCGGTTACCTTAATACAGGGAAATACACGTTAGAGACTGCAGCATTAATTTAGTACTGCACTTTTTAAAACGGTAGTATAAATCTATAAGATGCTTAGCCGTGAGTTAAATGTGTTAAATGAAAGTTTTTCTGTTAAGTAACATTCTAAAAGCATTAAATTCGCATTATAAATTATAATAAAAAAATAATTCAGTTTTTACAATTGAGAATATTCTTTTTATAGCCATCCATACAATTTCCAAAAGTTCTCCCAACTAACTTGATTTTTTAACTTTTAAATGTTATTCAGTTTGACAGTAGATTTTAGTTTTGCAATTATTTAAAATGTTGTGTAGAAAATACACCATGTATGCTGTTAAATTTCAAAGCTAGTAACAACCTTAGCATACAGTCCCTTTAAACTAAGAGCTAGCAACTATTATCTTGTTGTAAATATTGGTTTAGCCACCATTTTCTTTTTTTTATGGTTGATACAGTGTAGTGTAGTCTGCTAAAGTTGGCAGTCCATTACAAGTGATTATTGATTGAAGAGCTCCATGATTACAAGTCCCTAAGTTATTTATATTGTGTGTGGTTGTGATGTGAATCCTCCTGTAGTCACATCACTTATTTATATGTTATGCCATAAATAGATTTCAAATAACATTAGAGCACATTTTACAAGGGTGCGCCAAATAACTTGTTTAATATTATGTTTGGTGTATCGAGTAGTTTGCATGTTTGATGTAACAATATATTTGTCCCGTCCTCCCCCTCCCCCAACAGGTTGGGTGTCTGATAGAACAGGAAATTACAACTCCACATTCTACATGAGTGGATTCTTCTATGCTGTATCTGGTCTTGTCCTGTTTCTCACTTACATCCCCAAATGCCAGCAGGCTAGATCTAGAAGGCATTCACTAGATCTCTCCATGGAGATTAAAGTGGATGAACCAGTTGTCAAAAACGTAAGTCGCTATATTGTGGTGCTACATTAAACACACTTCACTGGGCTAGACTGACATTTGTGTATATCAAATTTTAACGGTCTGATTAAAATGGTCTGTTTCTCTACTCAGTTTTCTCCTTACTTGTCTAGTATTGCAGTACTTGTTGTAGGTATCTTGTGTAGTAGGCAGTGCAGCTTTTGTCATGCAATGTACAAGGTTTTCCTGTGTGAGTGTTTAGCATCTATTGGGTTATAAAAACAAAGTATTGCAAGTGTAGGCCAATAAGTGATTCAGCCAGCTTGTTGTTGGCCATGTTCCCAGGTTCGATGCTACAACCCAGTTTATTGACCCCAAATTATTGATTGCATACATGCTGAGGCTGGAGGGGAAAAAAATCAATAGTCGGCACTTGCATATGTGTGGAGGGTGTAGTGGTAGACTTGGCTCCATCTCAACTGTCCATGTGGCATCATGTCTGTGGTTTGTTCTGGTGGGGGGGGGGGGGGAATGGAGGGAGGGACATAGAAAGGAGTGGATTGGTTTATGTGGAAGGGGGGGGTAGGGTGATTTTGGTTGAGAGGGAGGGGGAAATGGTTTCTGTGGGGTGGTGATTTTGTTTAGGTGAGGGATAGTGATTGAGGTTGGGTGTGGAGGTTTGGGGTGATGGTGATCTAGGTAGGGTGTGGAGGCTTGGTGATATAGGTTTAGTTTGGGGAAATGGTGATCTAGGCTGGGTGTGGGGTTTAATGATCTTAAGTTGGGGGGAGGGGGGGAAGATTGTGCTTAGGTTTAGTTGTGGGATGGTCATTTAGGTTTTGAGTGGTCATTGTGGATGTCTGTGTGGGATGGAGTTTTATCTCATGGTTTTGTCCATTTTATTCTAGAATCGATGAAACAAATGATAGCTGTGGCCAAAGAGCCTTGTGTTTAATTCTGTTTGAATGCCCTTTGGCACTGTATTTTTCTTTCATTAGGGGTATTTTTGTTGTGTGTTATTAGCAACATCAGCACATTTGAACTCAGTCAGCATCATTGATTTTTGTGCTCCAGTGACCTCACTAGTTGCTTGAAACTTTCTCTGCCTCAGGCTTCAGTATTCTTTACACAATCCTTTGTTTAATTGATGAGTTTATCAGCTTTCAACATCAGACCCTATTTTTTCTAACACTGGCATCATGCATGATTATTTTTTTGCTCCATCAGATAACTTTTTTTCTAGTTCAGCTCTGTCCTGCTGGTCTAACTAGGCTCTCCTATCTCACTTTCATGCTCAATGGCTATTACAGGCTACTCAACTCTCATTCAAGTTTCATTTCTAGTGTCACTTACTGGTCATCACCTGACTGTATGATATATTCTATTGTTTCCTGCTCATTTTGTTTTAACAACTAAGCCGGCATATTAACACCTTTTTGTAAACTGTTAACTTATTCATTCCTTGTGGTAAATAGTCAACATTAATTCCATATGGCAAATCAACATAATTATTACATTAAAGAGTTAACATACTAATTACATATGTAAAGAGTCAACATTTTTTTCTCGGGCAGATGAGGCTCGTTAGCTGGGGACAGCCACTCTTCTAGGAGAGACAACTCCAAAATTAAACAACTGCTGCCTTGTAGTTTGTTCTTGGTTGGACAAAGGCTATGGAAGCAAATCCAAAAAGAAAAGCAGGCTGAAATCGGAGTCAATGGCCTCAATGGCGCATAACCAGTTGACACGTAACGCTTAATTGTGTTGGAGGCGTGGTCGAGTCGGCAAAAAGCTCATGGTTGATAAATTCGAACAAAGTCTCGAGTTCAAACCCACTGGCAGATAAATCTCGATCCCCTTCAACACTAATAATTAAGAACGAAGAAGAAGAAGAAGAACACCTTTTTGTAAACTGTTAACTTATTCATTCCTTGTGGTAAATAGTCAACATTAATTCCATATGGCAAATCAACATAATTATTACGTTAAAGAGTTAACATACTAATTACATATGTAAAGAGTCAACATATTAATTCTATATAGTCAACAATCACCACTTGCTTTTTTTTGTTTCATCTAGGAGAAAGTGCTTGTCACTTTCAGCTCATTGAAAGATGCACAGAATGCAGAGTATGTGTAGACAGGGACACAGGATGTACTAGGAGTGAGGTGGATGTATGATGAATAGAAGAGACTGCTTGTCAAGATGGAAAGTTTGCAACCTTAATGTAATCACTTGTTGACTTGTTTCATTTGTTGTCACAGTTGTTTGTTATTGGCCTCAGCCTGTGATCTTTGTTGTACATGATTATCAAGGTTGGGGCCCACAGGGCAATTTCATCAACACAACTAAGGACATTTTAATACTGCTAAAACTGTTGGATGCATTGGTTTCAATATGTGTAAACAATTTAATCAGCCTCATCATACTGTAACGTGGTTGTGGCCATTTGTACAGCAACCGCCAACCTTCTCTTTAAAGATGCACCATTGTCTGGAATTGTTTGGGAGGTTGCAATAGGACTGCACCACCCATACTAGTTTAACCAACTGGGATGAGTGCGGAACACAAGATCTAAATCTTTAAACATTTTTTTAAACCTTTGTTTATAATGAATGTTTTCATCAAAATGTTGATTCAGCATTTTTACTGTAATTCTATTAAAACTGTTAACAAAAATTTGTGATATCTTTACTGTTAAGAAATTGTAAATATTTTACATTGAATGGTATTGAAGCAAGTCTTTTTACCTAGCATTGTTCATTTATTGTTTACTACCTATTTCTGCCTGATGAAGCAAGTTATTTTCTACAAGTGAATCTCATCGTGTCAAGAGGACATGGCTAAGGTTGCCAAGAGAAATTTATTTTACATTGAGAAGTTTGCTTGAAATTTTCATTTATTTATAAATAATTATTCATATTTGTTATAAATATTTATTCATTAATGTTTTGTCATTTTATGATTTTTTTTTAACTCTTTTTTTTTCTTTCATAAATACCATGCCATAAATATTTTATAATACTAATACTTAAACATTTTTTAATCAATTTCTTATGCAACTTAATTCTATTTTTTTAGAATTGGGAATTGACTCTGTCACTTTCTATTATAGTAAAATCAAATGTGCACGTCCATTCTTACACCAGTGACCTAATCAAATGATGTAGCAAACTAACTTTTAACACCCTTACAGTAGCGAAATTACTGTGCTTTTTTTTTTGTCCAATATTGACTTTTGACAAACGTTAGTATTTATTGATAAGTCAACATTCCTTGCCCGATCTTTCACTCTGGTGATGTTTGTTGTTGGTGTGGATTCTACTTTGTCACTTGTAGTTTTCAACTATTTCCTATCCTGGTCAGCAGTACTTTGCTGCATTGGTCAGCCATAGTTTGTTGCATTGGTCAGCAGTACTTTGCTGCACTGGTCAGCTGTACTCTGCTGCACTGGTCAGTCATAACCTGTCAGCTGCACTGTTCAGCCATAACCTGCACCTGTCAGCTGCACTGGTCAGCCATAACCTGCACCTGTCAGCTGCACTGGTCAGCCATAACCTGCACCTGTCAGCTGCACTGGCAGTGTACCCTGGTCAGCTGTGGTCCCAATGTTGACCTCCTGTTTAGTTGTAGAGATGGTGTCCAGCATCAGCTTGTGAACTTATTTCTCTCTGTGAATCTATGCATGAAGAGACAGAAGCAATACAACAGCACACCCATGCTTCCATAGAACCTATTTTTATCACAAATTTGTTATGATCAAGTTCCTTTGATGTGGTACATAAATTCACTTGAGCCACCACAAAGGGAAACTTGATAGTCTAGTTATGTTTTATTTGGCAGGATCTAGTCAACAGTACCAACATCTAGCCATTCATTCATCAATTTTTACCTAGCCAGGGTGCTATTCTCATGCAAATTATTCATCCCCAACACCGTTTTTACAATTTTAAGTCACCATAGCTTACATCATCAAAATGTACTTGTTACAAGTTTACTACATCAACTAGTCTAGCAACTGTTGAACAGGACATTTGTTAAGGGTTGGGCCTTCAGCTGTTGAGCAAATGGTTTTTCTGTCATCAGCTGGTAGCTTGCACAAGCATTTCAATTTGCACACTTTTTCCCCCAAATTCTTACTACTATACTCTTTTATTCAGATCAATCTAGGGTTCAATAAAATAAAAATATTTCCTTGGATATGATGTTTTGTTAATGATTTTGTTGTGTGTGAGGAGGATGCCTATTCCTTAGGTGTACAAAATTGGGGCAGATCTATGAAGTTTGGAGACTAGTTGTTTCGCACCTTGAAGACATGAGTGGATATAGCTGATTATTCTACTAGCTGTGGTCTTCTTGACCAGCGTACTTGTATGCTGATTACAACCTGTTGACAAGACCCCAAAGACTTATTACAATGTAATTAGTAATACTTTTGACTTACATGTATTTACATACAAAAGGACAGCTAGCGCTAAAAGATGCCATTACAGAAAAACTTCCACTACGCTCTTTAAAGAGTCGTATAAAACTATAACAGCATTTTATATCATGCCTACTAGTAGTAGTCATGCGACGCAATGACATTTAAATGACATGTAATGCTTTATGACATCACTAATAAATGTCATGCTCTAACTACCATTTGGAGTCCTAATATTCTCTAACCGTACGGCACCATTCTACAGTTGGCATTTTGCCAACAATTTACAGCCTGCCCCCCACCCCTCCCGCCTGTCTCAAACTAAATTATTCCCTTTAGCCTCTCAACCAAACACGTCTAAGAACCGGGATGTCCTACAACTAGGCCGCCCCACATTTATATTTCATGGCATAACTAAAGTATTGATTCTTTTGCAACATCTACACTTATCATATGAGAGGTTCACACGGGGGATATGTTGCAGAACAAGTTGGTAGATAACCATGAAACATCTCGTTGGTGACATTTGGTAACAGTAACATTGGGTAGCCTACATGAAGTGCGGAACAGAAACTTGTATACACCAAGTTGGGAAAAGAAACATGTATATCAATTGTGAACAGGAAAATGACGTATACAATACGTTATGAGCAGGAACAATAAGTTTGGAACAGGAACATGTATATATACTTAGGGAACAAGAATATACATACATCAAATTGGGAAAAGGAACATGCTATTATATCATTTGGGTACAGGAACAAGTATTATATCAATTGGGAACAGGGGCATGTCAAGACTTGTCTAGATGGGTGCTGAGACAAGTATTTCACTAGTGAAAAACTGTGGAACAGATACGGTAAATATGACAGTATCCGCCATGCTAGCAACAGTTGTGTAGCATGTTTGAAATCATGAACAACTACAAGGATCTGTTAAATTAGCCGGTAACATGGGTCACCGACCGGTCAGGCACATGTTCAGTGGAGTCAGTGAAGTGTTTCTTCCAGACTTTTTTCTCGGGGGGGGGGGGTGGCTACTGAAATTTTCGAGGGGGCGGACTAAAATTTCTGGGAGGGGGGTAGGGCGGACGCTGTTAAAAGTATATTTCCTATATAAATTCCATTTAGTTCGGGGGGGGGGGGGAAGGGTAGACGTTCTTCGGGGGGGGGGGGGGGGGGGGTTCAGTGTACTATCTTACCAAAATAGGGCATATAACTATTAATATAACAAAGTTGTGATAACTTTATTACATTAGTTATACTAGTTATTGTCCCTATGTTGGTGAGATAGTACACTCTTGTATGTTGGTGGCAGGAAGAAAGTTCTCTGGCTGAGAAAATGGTCACGTATTTTAGGTCAAGGAATTTCTTATAAGATAACTTGAAATCAAAGTGGCTTCTATTTCTGTACATAGATTGTTATTTTGACACTACCTTGGGGAAAAAAAGTAGCTCGACATGAAGAGAAAGTAGAGTGGTGTTTATTTCAGTGGTTAAATATTGATTTGTCTACACCAAATTTTATGCGTGGTAACATGAGATGACTGTCTTTAACTCTCTTGGGGGGGGGGGGATGCGTGTGTCTTAAGCTCTGTTAGGAAGTGTCATAGTTTTTTTATGGCTCTGCCAGGAAAGTGTCACATACGTCTTTAGGAATCTAATATATAAAGCTCAATTCTGTAACACATGTTTGTTTGTCGCTGGTTATCGATGGATTTAAGTGTTAGAAAATTATCGTGCGCATTTGTCTAAATTTATGAGTTAAAAAATTACTATTAAAAGTGTTGGGAAATCATTTTCATTTTTCAAATTATAGTAATAATTGTCGGCATGTTCATTAAACAAAAGTTTTAAAAAAATATCATCTTTTACAAAAATTCTAATTATGTCTTTATTTAGTCCTATAGCGCTTACTTCCCTTTGATAAATTAGGCAAAACACAATTACTTCCCTTTATAAAACCATTGCATTAGTTGAAAAGCATTTACTTTTTAATTACTTTGTTTTGGTGTTGGGAAAAAAATAATTACATAATTAGCGGGGATTGATCAAGTGCAAATGTTGTAGGTATTTTACGGATAAGCTTGGAGTATTATAATTGTTCATTAAATTGAAACAGGCGCGTTCGTTTAAGTGAGTGCAAAAACTATGAATAAGTTGGGGTACTATAGTCGTTCATTAAGCTAAAACAGGCGATTCTGCCCCGGGCGTTTATGTTCGCGTTAGTGTTTTCTTTGTGTTTAGGTGGGTTTGCGTTAGTGGTTGCGTTTTGATTTGGTTCGTTTTTGTTCTTTCTTTTTTCGTTTTTGTTTGTGTTTTTTTTTGTTTGGGTTTGTATTTGTGTTTTTGGTTGGTTTTGCGTTTGGATTTGGTTTGTTTTCGTTTGCTTTTTCGTTGTTTTTTTTTTTTTTTTGGTATTGGTGTTTGTGGTTGGGTTTGTTGTTAGGTTTTTGTTTTCGTTTGTTTTTTCTTTGTGTTTGTATTGGTGTTTGTGGTTGTGGTTGGGTTTGTTGCTAGGTTTTTGTTTTCGTTTGTATTTGTAATTGTGTTAGCGTTATGTTTGCGTTTTGTTGTTTTGGTTTTGGTTGGTCGTGGTTTGGGTGAGCAATGCCGGGTTTATGATGATTACTAAACACACAGGTAATGGTCTTTAACAGAAAGGTTTTTCACAGAAGCCAGAGCAGGGCCTGGCCGGGACGGCTAGTATGTCATAAATATGTTTATTGATCCGTCAGATAAAGACGGGTGTCTTAAGCTCTGTCATATTATGAGCGATACCTTAAGCTCTGTCAGATGACGGATGCCTTAAGATCTGTCAGATTATGACGGATGCCTTAAGCTCTGTCAGTATGACGGAAGTGTCTCATTGATTAGACTCGTGATCACGGGATGTCAGTAGTCACCACCAACCTACTCTCTCCCAAAACGTCACACAATGCCGAAACTCCATACTTAGCATTGTTCCAACTCTCATACTCTCATTAATACTCTCTTTAATGACCATCTTGAGTAGGTATTCTTTTAAATTACAACAACATTTAAACCTGTTGTCCGTGTCTCTAATAGTAATGACTTCAACAAAATTTTCATTCACAAAACAAAGAGAGAAAAAAACATTAAGTGTAAATTTAGTTTAAAAAACCGTTTGTTTCATTAAAAAAAGACGGTGGGCGTGTATACTCCCACAATTAATTAAGTTGCTAATTCTACCTGTGGGTTTAAGGAAGATGTGTGTTGGGTTAATGCAGGTTGAGGTCGTCTAGAGGTGACATTTAATTGTATCATTTACAGGGGCGTAACTTGGGTGGGACAGCTGAGTCAGCGTTTTTTTTTTCATCAATAGGCCTCTACAATATTTGGTAAAATTGTTTAATAAATAATTTATGGAAAGGGGGTGGGGTGGAGGGGGCAGTGATTGTATTCGCTATGAATACAGAAGTATGTAGCTACTGCGTGGATTGAATACAATGAGGGGGGGGGGGGAGGAATGTTATATTTTACGTCGCGCTTTTTTTTTTGGCGCTTTTTACCTCCCCCTCCCCCAACACACACACATCATCACATGAAGTTAGACCGCCCCCTTAAAATGACGTCACACATCAGACTACACCTCCTCCCTCAAGATAGCAGTTTTTTTTAAAAACATCGATTTCTTTCTAAATTTTTGAATGAGCTCGGTCAACATAGAGTAGATTCTATATTAATCCATTTCTAATACTATTTATACAATTGCTATAACAGTGCGAAACAACAGCTAAAATTCTGTATCTAACATTACGTTAAAAAATTGCAAACTGTGTCGTCACACTATTTAAACACCCCTCATCCCCTCATCACACTTCGTCACAAAATTACTAACCCCCCCCCCCTTCCCCCATCCCCCTCCCCTTCCTACTCTAGGGATGAAACGTCATTCATGTACAACCCCTAAGTTAATTGTAGGAACAAATTATCTGTGCCCAACAACTTGGGACTTGTTGTCTGTGATCTGCGACTTTGGACACGTTCCAGATTTCTGCGATTTCGGACATGTTTCAGACTTCTGTGACCTTGGACTTTCCACACCCTTGTGACGCGCGGCATATTCCGAAACCTGCAACTTGGGACACGTTCCAGATTCCTTCAACTTGGGACAGGTTCCAGAATCCTGCAACTTGGGACATGTTGCAGATTCCTTCAACTTGAAACATGTTCCAGCTTGCAATTCGCGACATGTTCTGTAATCCCGCGACTTTAAACATTAGGCTTCACGTTAAATACAACACCAGAAACTAGCCCATAGAGGGAGGTGGGGGTGGGAGAGGGGGGGGGGGGGGTGAGAGACGCCTAATGATAACACAGATAATGGAGTTTTAAAAATATCTGTTTAATTAAAGACACGCCTACTTGAGGCATGGACAAAAAATGTAATCCCTGTCTTATCAAGGGAGATAAAAATGTTTTATGGTTAGTGTACGGGGTTACCAACATATCTACCGCGGCCTGATATTTTTACTGACGTCACACCAGTCACATTAGTTAACAGATATTTGAAAAAAAATTTATTACTAGATTGTGCGCTTTTATGTTTGGTATGAAATATTTGTTAAGGTTGGAGAATCCGGGTACGACTAATAGTCATCTGATTCGAAGTATCAAATAATGTTAGCTATTAGTTACTTCGGTTTTGTTAAAAAAATCGACAAATCATCTCAGTGTTAGATTACTATTATTGTAAATTTCAGGGTCAGGGTTACGTTTAGGATTAGTGGTAGTTAGTGCTAGAGTTACGGTAG